TTTATTTATTTGACAGAGAGAGACACAGTGAGACAGGGAACACAAGCAGGGGGAATGGGAGAGGGAGAAGCAGACTTCCTGCCAAGCAGGGAGCCGGATGCGGGGCTCGATCCCAGGACCCCGGGATCATGACCCGAGCTGAAGGCAGACGCTTAACGACTGAGCCACCCAGGTGCCCCTGGGTCATGGTAATTCTGTGTTTAACTTTCTGAGGAATTGTCAGACTGTTTTTTGCAACAGGTGAATCATTTTTTATCCACCAATATATGAGGGTCATAATTTCTCCACATTCTTGCCAACATTTATTATTTTCCATCTTTTTTTTTTTTTTTTAGGACACAAAGTTTGCTTTAAATATTAAATATTTTTTGGGGGGAAAGGACACCACACTTCTACTCAATTAAGAGAAACATTTTTACAGTCTTGAGGTCTTTTATTTTCTTTACATTTATCATGCCATGAATTCATAGGGAATGGGTTCCAGCAGTTCGGGCTCCTTTCCATTAGTTCTCACAAAGTGTGCTTCTCTGGGTGGGGCAGGCTGGCGCTTCAGTTGAACCCAAGTACCTTTCTCTTTGGCTTCCTTCTTTTTCTGATCATTTTCCTTCACACTCTTCAGGAATCTGTCTCGGTTCTTTGAGTGTTTAATATACTCAATGTGTACATTAATTCTCTTGGCAAGAATCTTGCCCTTGTTTGTTTACAACAATGCCAGCAGCATGCTGAGTAACATTGTAGACTCTTCCAGTTTTGCCATGGTAACATTTGTGGGCATTCCTTTTTGAACAGTGCCCATTCCCTTGATGTCCACAATATCACCTTTCTTATAGATTTGCATGTATGTGGCCAAAGGAACAGCTCCACGTTTTCTAAAAGGTCTAGAGAACATATAGCAGGTACCTCTCCTCTTTTCCTTTGTGTTGGTCATTTTGGCGAATTACTGGAAGATGGCGGTTCCAGCCGAAAGGAAGCTATTTTCCATCTTTTTGATTATAGCCATCCTAGTGGGTGTGAAGTGGTGTGTCTTTTTGCTTGTATTTGCATGATAAATGATGTTGATCATCTTTTCATGTGCTTGTTGGACATTTGTTTACCTTCTTTAGAAAAATGTCTATTCAAATTTTTTCCCCCGTTTTTAAATTGGGATGTAAATTTACTGAGTTGTAAGAGTTCTTTATATATGCTGGATTCTAGACCCTTATCAGGCATATGACTTCCAGATATTTTCTCCCATTCTATAGATTGCCTTTTCACTTTCTTGATAGTGTCTTTTGATGCACAAAAAGTTCTTAGTTTTGATGAAGTCTAATTATTTTCTTCTTTTGTTGCTTATGCTTTTTGTTGCTTTTCTAAGATTTCATCCTTAAATCCAGGACCATGAAGTTTACCCCTGTGTTTACTTGTAGGGGTTTTGTAGTTTTAACTCTTACATTTAGGTCTTTGCGCCATTTTGAGTTAATTTTTGAATATGGTTTGAGGTGGGTGTTCAGCTGCATTCTTTTGTTGTATGTAAACAGTCAGTAATCCTAGCACCATTTGTTGGAGATACCATTCTTTCCGCTGTGAATGATCTTGGTGCCCTTGTTGAATGTCCTTATTTTAGTTCCTCTTTTTCTTCACCACCTACTTCGATAGGTGCCTCTAGTTTCTGAACCTTTACGTAATTCTGTATGTTGGGTTGGTCAGCTTTCTCCATTGCCAGCCTAGGATTCCATTATCTCTGGTATACCCATATTTACATTATTATTTTCTAAGGAGTCTGTTATTTCAGTTTTAATTTTTCTTTGACCTAGCAGCTTCTTTTTGTTTTCTAGTTGCATTTTCATGTGTGTGCTTTGTTCAAATTGTTTTCTACTTTTATTACATTACAGTAAAAGAATACTCAGTTATCACCTTTTCCAGAAAGCTTCCCCCCCCCACCCCCCCGTGGGGCACCCCCCCCAGTCGGGCTGGCTGACTTCCTCCTCCTTGCTCCAGTCACATCTTCTGCTAATCTCTGACACCAGCACGTTGTGTGCAAATAATCTTTTTTCTCCTCTGTCCTTCCACCACACTGCGAAATTCTCTGTAGTTGGGGCTGTGTTTTATCTTTCTGTACCCAGCAGTTCAGTATAGTTCCTAATGCATAATGTTTGTTCAACTGAAAATTTACTCAAATCCCCTTTCACACCCCCATGGCTAAGGGTTAACACTAAGTTTCTGTTTTTAATTGAATTTGGTGAGGTCCAAGTTTATCATCTACTGACCAGAGAGTGTCTTTGTTGGAAGACTATACCAGGTATTGAGTATGTGTTAGCCTCTGTTAAAGACTTGAAAATAACTTATTTGAGACTTTGCAAATGAGAGAGCGAAGACTTGGGGTGGTTGAGTAACCATCCCAGTCATGCAGCTGATAGTAAGTGGGTGTGCTTTTTGAACACAGAGCTTGATTTCTGTGCAGTTGAGTGGTACCCCTTCATGTCATGAGGGACCCTCATCACTTTAGAACAGGTATTCCCAGCCTTCTGCAAGGAGGTGGGAAATGAGGTCGTTCATTGTCTCAAATTCAGACTTCTTTTATTTTTATTTTCTCATACCGAAGTTTAAAATGGCTATGGAGTGAAATCTGTTCTTCCTTTTGTGATTTCTTTTTGGTGTTTAAGTTTAAAAAGTTACTCTCTCTGATAGCTTGATGAAGATTCCATCTTTTCTTACTTCTAGTTTCTGTATACTTTTTTTTTTAAACTCTAATTCACCTGGAATTTATTTTGGTTAACCACATACTAGTCATTTTAAATTGCTGTAATGCTGATGTCCCTTAATAGGTTTGGCAAGTCTTATATTGCTGGATATTTAGGTTATTGCTAAAATGCTGCTACGAATACTTTTGTATAACCATTTTTTATTTTATTCTCCTTTTGGTGGTGGTCTTATTTGTGTGTGTGTGTGTGTGGTGACGGTGGTGGTGGAGGGCTTTCGTCTTTTTTCTTTTAAGATTTTTATTTATTTGAGAGTGAGTGAGAGAGCACGGGGAATGGGGAGAGGCAGAAGCAGACTCCTCCTGATCAGGGAGCCTGACGTGGGGTTTGATCCCAGGACCCTGAGATCATGACCTGAACTGAAGGCAGATGCTTAACTGACTGAGCCACCTAGGCAACCTGGAGGGCTTTCTTCTATTTCCAAGTTTGGGTATAATTTCCTTAGGCTGTACTTAAGAGGATTAAAGAAGTGAACAATTATTTTAATTTAATTTTATTATTTTTTTATTGAGGTGTAATTCACATATAACATGTTAGTTTCAGGGGTACAACATAATGATTCAGTATTTGTATATACTGCAAAATGATCATCACAGGAAGTCTGGTTAACATCCATCTCCATATAGTTACAAAAATTTTTTTATTATGATGAGAACTTTTAAGATCTCTACTCTCTTAGCAACTTTCAAATGTACAGTACAGTATTTTTTTTTTTTTTAAGATTTTATTTATTTATTTGAGAGAGAGAGAATGAGAGATAGAGAGCACGAGAGGGAAGAGGGTCAGAGGGAGAAGCAGACTCCCTGCTGAGCAGGGAGCCCGATGTGGGACTCGATCCCGGGACTCCAGGATCATGACCTGAGCCGAAGGCAGTCGCTTAACCAGCTGAACCACCCAGGGGCCCTACAGTACAGTATTATTAACTGTAGTCACCATGCTGTACATTACATCCCCTTACTTATTTATTTTATAACTGGAAGTTTGTACCTTTTGATCCCCTTTCACTAATTTTGCCTGACACCACCCAACCCCTGCAACCACTAATCTGTTCTCTGTATATGTGAGCGTGGTTTCATTGTTGTTGTCTTAAATTCCACATATAATGAGATCGTATGGTATTTATCTTTCTCTGACTTCTTTCACTTAGCATAATGCCCTCAAGGTCCGTCCATGTTGTTGCAAATGGCAAGATTTCCTTCTTTTTCTATGGCTGAATAGTATTCCATCGAAATGAACAATTGTTTAATCAAGCACTTAATTGAGTTTCTCCTAAGTACAGGGCATTGTACTAGGTGCTGAATTGCTGAGTAGCTCTGATTGACAGCTCTGTTTTCACCTGATTTTCAGCAACCTGTATCATGCCAATCAATCATATATTTTTGTTCACTTAAATGTAGGTCCATCTAGTGTGATTGATTGGATTAAAGTTGACATGTCCTATAATGGCTGTGAATCCCATAAGTGTGGTTTATCTTTTGTTTTTTATAACTCTAGCTGTTTAATTAGGGAGAAGAAACTGCAGTTAGAATATTGAAGATCATTCCACATTTACTAGTCTTAATTTTTTTTTTCCAATTTATTTTGTTACTGGTTGCATGGTCTTACCTTAAATTTGTCTTGGTGGATCATCTCTGCAAACTTGCTCTTCTAAAACTGTATCCAGTATTCACTCAAGTGAAGAGGTTATTGTTTTTTATTTTTAAAGATTTATTTGAGAGAGAGAGAGAGAGCATCCATGGGTGGGGGGTGGAGCAGAGGGAGAGAGAGAGAATCCTCAAGCAGACTCCCCACCACCTATGGAGCCTGATGTGGGGCTCGATCTGAGGACCCCAAGATCATGACCTGAGCTGAAATCAAGAGTCAGATGCTCAGCTGACTGAGCCACCCAGGTGACCGCAAGTGAAGAGTTTTAAATTTCAGTTTTCAAGATACATAAAGCTAGTTTAAAGGAAATGATGGATGCTTAAGTTATTTTAATGATGGGATGCCTGGGTGGCTCAGTCGGTTAAGCCTCTGACTCTTGATTTCAGCTCAGGTCTTGATCTCAGGGTCGTGAGTTCAAGCCCCACTTGGGCTCCATGCTGGATATGGAGCCTACTTAAAAAAAAAAAAAGAAAAGAAAAAAATCATTTTAATGACTGGATAAGTTATCTCAAAGTAGATCATTTGGGGGGTTTGATTATAGTTTAAATTACATAATGCAACTTCTTAATTTCTCTGTTGGGTAAATGTCTTTGTAATGAATGAAAAGAATTTTGAATTGATAGAATAAGTTTTTTATTTTTATTTTTCCAGGAATCCACTTAAACAACAATCTAAACCACTTGAAATTTGGCTTGGATCATCATCGACTGTCTTCTGCACAAACTGCAGCAAAGCAAGGGAAAACAGACTTGCCCCCAGCAAGAGCGGAAAACGACAAGATTGTTCTATTAGTGTGTAACCGAGCCTGCACTGGGCAGCAAGGGAAAAGGTAAAAACTGGCTTACTAATAAGTGCTGAAACTTTAAAAGTCCAATATTTTCAAACATTTTAAAAAGTGGGGATGAAAAACCCTTACTTTTATTAATTTTTGATCCTGATATGTAGAAAGAATATGTGTATAAGTTGACCTGATTTTGAGGGGTTGGGAGGAGGAGAATATAAAATTAGGATGATAGAATCTGAATTAGAAAGGCTCTTCAAGCTTGTCTAGTTGTTAAAGGCTCGGTTCATGTGTTTTTTTTTAGCTCAGGTTCCTCATGGGGCCTATAGGCCTATATCCAGCTACTTTCTTAACAGCCTTTTTTTTTTTTTTAATTCTTAACATATCTACTTGAATGGTACATGCACCTCAGCCTTATGTTCCAAACTGAACTGATTCTCTTTCTCTGTAAATCTGGCTCTCCAGTATTTCCTGTCTCAGCAAATGGCAGCACTGTTCATTCAGCTACTTAAGTCAGAAATTCAGGAGTTGCAAATCTCTCTCAAATCTGTTTCCTGCTAAGAATATATGGGAGTTTTAGACTTACCTTTTAAAGCTGTTCTATCACAGTAGTAATGTAACCTGAGTAATAATGAAATATGGATATGTTTCAGGGACAAAGGACTCTGTTTCTACTGTTTGTCAGGGTAGCATTTTATTAGTCTTTTAAAATGTTGCTTAGAAATAACTTCCTTATTTAATGATGGTTAAATAACTTAAGTATGAAATGTGTTGATGTGTATATTTATGATACTTGTTAACAAATACTTTAGTGTTTACAGTGTGTTGGGCACTGTTCCAACACTGGGGATAGAGCAGTGAACAAGACAAACTGTGTTCTTGTGGAGCTTACATCCCAGTGAGGACAGACCGACTATAAACAAGTAAACACATGTCACTTCAGACAGTCCTCACCATTTTGAAGATATTAAAGCGGGCCTGGATGATGGAGTGTGCTGGTGGGGGGGGGCAGCCAGACCATGCTAGAGATGGGGACAGGGAGGTCCACCTGAGGAAGCAGCATGGAGCTGAGGAGACGGTGTGAGTGATGTGAGCCTCTGGGGAGAAGGCTGCATGGGGAGAGAACATGAGTACAAAGACCCTGAGACTAAGTAGAACTTGGCATGCTTATTTAAGGGGTGGAAAGAAAGGCAGCTCAGTGTGTTGATAAAAAATAAAGAACTTGTGGAGTCCCTTTTGTAATGATGCTCTTCTCTTACAAGGGAAGACATGACCATGTGAAAAATAGGAGTGGCTGATTTACACGTGCTTGTCATTTCTTTCACATCACAGTGCTGTTTGTGGAGTACTGCTGTGTGTAGACTGAGGCTGTTAGGAACCACTTTCTTGATCTGAGTGCCTCTGCTTCAGCCTGAGTCAGGGATTATCTCTTGGCTCCTTTGTTCATTCATTAAGCATGTATGGGTTTCTGGGCATTGACTGGGTGTGGGGTACTGTGATAAATCATAGTTCCTGCTGTCAGATAATTCAGTCTACTGGTGGAGGCAGGAAGATGGACAGTATTTGCAGCACAGTGAAGTGAATGTCGTGGCCCAGATAGCACAGGGAACAAGTCAACAGGGTGCTTCCTGGAGAAGAATCCCTCTGCTGGGTCTTGATGTGAGTGAGTAGGAGGTGGCCTAGAGGAAGGGTGGGAGGGGTGTACCGAGCGGCAGGAGTTGACTGCACAGAGAGTGAGTAGGACACATGTAGGGCAAAAGAATAGGTCTGAGCGGCTGGGCTTGGATGAGAGTGTGGCTGGGCCAGGGGTCCTCGGCCCTGGCTGCATATCAGAACCTCCTGGGGGTTCCTCAGCGAATCTGTGCTCGGGCCATGTACCAGAGAATCTCGGGGGCTGCACTTGGGCATCACTGTGTTTTAAAGCTCCCTTGGTGATCTCAGTGTATAGCCAAAGCTGAGAACCGGGGTACGGTACTCCTAGGAGCCCAGCATGGGCAGGGGCCACATGGCTTCTACTGTAGGCTGGGAGCTGACTTTCTGTGTCACTTGCTTGCCAGTGCCTTCCTTGTCAGACAACCAGGCTATGGCCACCTGCCTGCCAGACCTTCTAGCCTTGTCTGTTCCTCCAACACGCAGCCCCTTATATGGGGACCCATGCTGTTAGCCAGACCATGTCCACTCCCGTCGTCTTTCCTCACCATATTCATTGATCCTGTCCTCTTGCTACCTAGTATCGTCTAGAAGCCATTTTGACACATGAACTGTTAAATTTTGTTTAGAAATCTAAGCTTCTCTGCTGACTTTTTCATCTACTTATGAGAGTAACTATTAAATTTCGTGTTTGTTTTATTTTGAGAACTGTCCTAAAGCCAATAATATAGTCGTTCCATTTTAAGAGACCATGAATAAAGAATTACACTATTAAAGGGATTGTGGTACTTTTAAGGTGATAGCAATATTTATGTGTGTTAGATTTGGACTGCCTTTTGTGCTGCACTTAGAGAAGACAATAGCGTGGGACCTTCTGCAGAAGGAAATCTTGGAGAAGATGAAGTATTTCTTGAGGCCCACAGTTTGCATCCAGGTGAGTAAGCATATCAACACTCCAGCATAGCATGCATGTGTACCCAAGTGAAGAAACAGTCACTGTGGTGAAATTTGAATTTCGGACCTCTGCACTTAGGGAAGACCAGGCGCTGAGCTGGGATGTTGAGGAGCCCTGGTGGACAGCTGTTTGGTAAAATCAGCTGTGTTCAGGTTTTCAAGACTAAGGATTTACCCCTCATTTTCTGGCCACTGCAAGAATTCCCTTGAACTGCTAGGTATTTCTTTATAATATATATTTATCTAATAAAGATTAGCACACGATCAGCTTTGAGAGATTGTAGAACAGGTATCTGTATATTTTCAAAATTAGGATTACTATATGAAGGTATCCATGGAGGACTTACATTAAATTAAGGTTCAGCCTAAAGCAGCATATTACTTGTCTTGCATAACATGTTTGATATGTAAATTGCATTTAGGTAAATCATCTTTAAAGTGTGTAAGAGTGGCTCAACAACCTAAAAGAATATCAGAGAGAAGCATTTTGCAAAAGCGTTTGCTGCCCTCTCATCTGTTTCGGAAATGCCACTGTGACGCACATGCCCTTGGAGAGAAATTCAGCCACATTTTCCTTTACTGTTTGATGCAGGTGTGTCCATTCAGTTTGCGTGTTGTCAGTGTTGTGGGGATAACATACTTGCTGCCCCAGGAGGAGCAGCCGCTGTGCCACCCAACAGTAGAAAGGTAAAATTCGATCAATCAGTCACCTTCTAGAATTTTATTTATCTTCCTCTGTAATTTCTAGTGATGTCTGGTATAATTTCTACCTAAGTGTGGTAGGCTCATTAGGCTCGTTTAGAAATTAAGTATACTTATTTTACTTTTCATTCACATTTAAGTATGATATATATATGATCTTTTTTGAAATCAGGAAAGCAAATTAATGTATGTCCCAGGACTACAGATAAATTACACTTTAATATTCAATCAGGATGGAAGTTTTCCAAAGTAGAATTCTTATCATGCCACTTTCCTCCTGGAAATCTTAAATGGAAACCTGTAGCCTAAAAGATAAAGCCCAACTTCCATGGTGTACGAAGCTCTACACAGTTTGAGCCCTGCTTACTTCCTGCTTGTCAGGCCCCACTCTTCTCCTCCTCCCATCTTAGACCTTCAGTAGTATCAGAGCACAAGGATTGTTGGAACGTGTGGCACCGCTTCGTGTGTGCCTTTGCGTGTGTGGTGTCCTCTGTTGATCAGTCCGTTCCTTTAAGCCTTCTTTCTGTCCCACCTCTCCCTCAGTAGACTTAGTCACTTCACTCTACTACCTCTGTGCTTGGTTTATGGAGGAGAAGGAGAGATGTAGGAGCAGACTTCGTTTCCAGAGGGACTATTATCCGGTCTCTATGTAGATTGGTGAGAAATGAGACAAAAAGTTGGAAAGGTCATAAAAAAAAAAAGAATATCTAAAAGTGATTGTGGACAGCCTTGTAACATGAGACTGATTGCTTCCAATCTCTTTATTTCTGTACTGGATGTTTTAATTTAGGATTTTTCAGTCCAGTTGTAACCTAGTTATTCTAGATACGAGGTCATAATGGTCTCAATAGAAACTTTTTCTGATGAGGAACAATGATGAAGATTTTCAGTAATCATATTATGATACCGAATTTCAAATAGGACATAAGTAAAATCATTTCTTTAGAACATAATATGTGACTTCGTCTCCATGCTCTAGGGCGTTAAAATCTTGTGGACCAGGTGGCACTGCTCATGTGAAGTTAGTGGTAGAATGGGACAAGGAAACAAAAGATTTGTGAGTATTTTTTTTACTTAGTGCTTATAGAATCATTGTTTTAATGATCATTTTAATAGCATCCCTTTGATCTTTCAGATTAGCTGAAACAAATCTCTCTTTAAGTATCCAAGTGGGTTGCTAATCCTTTATTTAACCAGTTATTTCTTTCCTGTACATTCTTTTGTCTGGATCTCAAAAACCTCAGAATGTTTGCTGCTGATCAGACAGAACTATTTATTCATTACTGTACAGGGCCAATTACTTTTTTTTTTGTTTTTAGAGAGAGCATGCTCAAGCAGGGGTGGGGGAGGGGAGGAGAGGGCAAGAGAGAGAATCTCAATCCATGCTGGGCGAGGAGCCCGACTCAGGGCTTAATCTCACAACCCTGAGATCATGACCCGAGCTGAAATCAAGAGTGGGATGCTTAACCAACTGAGCCACGGAGGTGCCCCTTTGATTTTTATTACAGGCCCATTAATTCTAGTAAATTATGCCAAATGCATGGCCTTAGATACAAAGGACAAGAATATATGAATTAATAGTTCATGGCCAATCCCATGAAAACCAACTCCCAAGTTATTTCTTGAAAATAACTTTATAGATACAGAACTTTTCAAGGATATTTTGAAACATAGAAAAGTTGGGTGACCAGTTGGATAACCTGTTTGCTTTCATTACACACTGGTTCTTTTTGGTTATAAATTTATAGTCACATTGTGAAGCTGCAATTTTGGGGTCAGTTTTGCAAGACATTCTCTGATAAATACCCACCCCTTCCCCCATTGCAGCTTGTTTGTAAATACTGAAGATGAGTATATTCCTGATGCAGAAAGCGTCCGTGTGCAGAGGGAGCGTCATCATCAGCCTCAGACTTGCACTTTATCCCAGTGTTTCCAGCTCTACACCAAAGAGGAGCGGGTAAGAGCCTGGCAGCACTTCTTAGGTGGTGAGGGGGGCAGGGAGGGGGGTGGGGTAGAATGACACCAGAGAAGCAAATGATGCTCCAGAAAAATCCCCAGACATTCTGCACTCATGTAAGTTCTGCTGCACACATAATGGGCATCTAAGTGCTATCCATTTTAGGACTTTAACAAAAAGTAGTTTAGATTACTAGAAAATTTTGACTGATTGAAATGCTCTAGAAGTGAACCTTCTAGTTAATATTTTCCCCTTTTAACAATAATATACTTTTTTGTTTCGATTTAGAGATTTTATTTACTTATTCTCAAGACTTTATTTGAGAGGAAGAGAGATCTTGCGTGAGAGATCGAGCACAAGTGGGTGGGAGGCAGAGGGAGAAGGAGAAGCAGACTCCGCTGAGCAGGGAGCCCGACGTGAGGCTTGATCCCAAGACCCTGGGATCATGACCTGAGCTTGAAGGCAGACACCTAACCAACTGAGCCACCCAGGTGCCCCTCAATTTAGAGATTTTAAATCATTTGCCCTAGTAACCAGAATAGTGATTCTTAATTTTTTGGTACTAAGAACATAGGTGCCAGAACCTATTTAAATTTAAACTAAATTAATGAAAACGAAATAAAATTTCAGTTCCTTAGCTGCATTAGTCACATTTGGAGTTCTCAGTGCGGGTATACATGGAAAGTTCTATCAGACAGCATGCTTCAGACCAGTCAACACAGTGCTTGGCAGATAGAGGGGACTCAGTAAATATTTGAATGGAAGAATGGACAGATACATGGATAAGTAAGTCTCTGCAGATGGGGCCAAGGTCTGTGTGGTTTTTAAAACTCTCCAGGTTTTTATGCACCTTGAAGAGCCTTGACTAGAGTACTTGGCATTCATCTAATCTTGAGTTGATGTTAGGATCATAATTTTGACTGCTAATTGTTACTGCTCACTCTTGTATGTAGTGAACCCTGAAATTTCAGGGTTAGAGGGGACTTTAAAGCTCCTTTTTTCTAATGTTTGAGTTCTTCTACCTAATTGCAAATAGATGATTGTCCAGCTACTGTTTGAATACCTTAGTTATGAGGCATTAGTCTCTACTCAAGAGACATACCATTTCCTCTCTGGATATCTCTGATGGTCACTGAAGCTGCCCTGAAATAGGCCCCAGGTTACTATAGCCAACAGGCTATGAACTCTCTCTTGAGTTCATTAAGGATATTTGAGGACAAGTCTTAATTTTCTTCCACTTGTCTGTTCTTTAAATATTTGAAAATACTTTTAATATTCTCACAGAATCTTTTTCCCCCAAGCTGTTCATTGCTCATTCCTTTAATAATAGTTTTTTATATGACCTGTGTTTTTTTTTTCCCCCCCAGTTTGGGGCCTAATTATAAAGTAGTTGGCTTTTTTTTTTTAATTTTTAAAATTGTTTTAGATTTTATTTATTTATTTGAGAGAGAGAGAACACAAGTAGGGAGGAGAGGGAGAAGCAGACCCCCTGCTGAGCAGGGAGCCTGATGTGGGGCTCAATGCCAGGACCCCGGGATCGTGACCTGAGCTGAAGGCAGACGCCTAACTGACTGAGCCACCCAGGTGCCCCAGTTAGTTGGCTTTAAAATGGGTTGATGGCAGACTCTGGAACTTTGTCCTGTTTGGGCTTGCTTTTTTTTTTTTTTAAATTTGGGAGATGTTTGAGAATGGCACAAGCTTAAAACTGAGCAGATCTACTATATGACAACATTGGTATTCCACAAAACATCTCACTGGTCTAGAAGGATGAGTTCAAGCTGGCAAGATACATTTTAGTAGGGATTCATTCAATAAATGTTTATTGAGTACATACTGTGTGCTAGGTGCTGCGCGTGGTACTGGGGATGTAACGGATCAAACCAAAAGGTGGTTCTGCCTCTGGGCTATTTATAGTCTAGTGGGGATAAATAAGTAAATCAAGGAAGCAACTTGATGTGGTTGAGAAACAGGAATGAGGCCAGTGTAGCTGGAATACAGGGGTGAGGAAGAGAGTTGTGAGAGTCTGTCCTGGTCATAAAATAACCGTAGCGTCTATAAGCAGTGCCTGGCACAGAGAAGGCATTTGGTAGGTATCTACTAGAATGAATGAATAAGTGAGTATTATTTGGGCAGTTCAGTCACTGGGTCTAAAAATAACAGTACAGGTACAGAGGAGGAGATAGGATTTAGCAGCAGACCCTGAGACGGTAACTTTGGGTTTAGTTGTCTGCAAGCTCAGTATTGATCCACAGTGTCATGTGTCAGCCACCGTCAGCTGCCTTAAGGATACTTTAAAACAGTGTCCAGAATTCAGATGGTGATAGCACTGCCCTTTTCATTACCTTAAATGTTCACGGTTAAAAGAGACTGACAAACCGTGGCATGAGAGAGTGGCTAGGGGATGGTGCATCTGGAAACCATGATGTGCTGAATGTCTTTTGACAGAGGAGGCCTTAAGTGGGGATCTGATAGTTATTTTTAGGCACTTCAAGGACTGTCTGTGGATGAGGGATTGGACTTAATTCTATCTAAAAAGCAGAACTTAAAGATTGGAAATTACAAGGGAGAATGAATTTGTCTTAATATGAGGAAGAACTCCCTGACAGACCATCTGAAAATGAAATAGCTGCCTGCTGAGATAGCTGTCCTTCATTTGCTACGCAGAGTTAGCTAGACCAACGATGCTCCAAGTATGGTCTGCAGGTCCGGGAGCTCTTTATAGCAGTTTACAGTAAGATAAGTACAGAAATCAGAGACGTTTTAGAAAATGTCATAGCTATTAGACATTGTCAGGACATTCTTACTGTATCTTATACAAGTATCTGTGTTGGAAATTAACAAAACAAATAAACAACTTGCCCTTTTACCACAAGCCCTGGGCTGGATGGCCACATGTGGAGACTATTAATATGTCAGCAGAGGTGCAGACTTACCGGATGACAGTGTAGGTCCCTGCCAGTCTGTGTCTGAGCCACCTCCATCTACCCAAACTTCTATTTCTCCCCATGTTTCCTACAAACATGATTGGGTCTCCCTGTCATGAAAAAAAAGAAAATCTCCTCAATTCTGTTTCCCTTTCCAGTGACCATGCCTGCCTTTCTCTTCCTCCTTTCTGCTTCATTCCCCATTGGTGGTTTCAGCTTTTGCCCTCCCTCCGTCTGACTTGTACTTCTGACAGTACCCTCTGAAACTCTCTCGGTGGCCTCTGGTTTGCTCAGTTCTGTGGCCTTTGCCCCATCTCCAGCCGACCCCTCCAGGATCTTGCCATTCTCTCTCCTTGGTCTGTATAAAAAAGAATGCTTCTGGTTTGCCTGTTTTTCTGACTATACGTCCTCAGGCTCTTTCCCTTAAAAAGAGGCATTCCCCAAGATTCTGTTCTTGACTGCTATCTGTCCCATCTCAGTGGGCATTGTCATCCACACCATGCTTTCCTTAACCTCATCATGTTCATGGTCCCCGATCTGATGCATCTTCTGAACTCCAGAAGGGATTTAAATCTCTCACCAGACATGCCTCATGGGCATCTCTAACTGAATATGTCCCCATCCTGAAACCCTCGCCTGCAGAGATGGCATATGTAGACTTGAAGCCTCAGATTGACGTTCAGAAAGACCTTGTTAATAGCAGGAGGTGGGGGGGGCATTGTTTAGAGGGTTTCAGTGCTTGGGAGAGAGAGATCAGTTAGGAGACCCGCCAAAGTCCAGGTAATAGCATGGGTGAGGATTGTGATTAAGGCCACCTTCGTGGGAATGGAGTAGAGGAGACAGGTGTGTGATATGGCAGACACAATTACTTTGGATAGATGTGGAACCGGAGGAAGAGGGAAGGGTTCGAAGGTTTGGGATACTCCGCCCCTCCCCGCCCCCCCCTCGCCCCCGCCCCTGCCGCGAGTACTGCTTTTGGTGGGTGGTAGTGGTGGTTTGCTGAGGTAGGACTTAGAGGAGGAGGAGAAAGTATATTGATGGAAAGGCAACAGGTTGAGTTTAGGAGTTTGTGGAATTTGAGGTTCTTCTGTGACATTGAATATCCTCTGTGTAATATTTACCTGTTCAGTGATCTCTTTTTGAGAGGTAATTTACTCAGCAAATCTTCGGGGGCCATCTCTGGCCAGGTGCCTCTTGTGATTGTGTTTTTCCGCTGACTCCCCATCATATGTGGTTTCCAGAGAGATTCCGAATCGTACCACACCCTGACCAGGAAGTGAGTGCCATGGTCTTCTGTAGAAAGTCTTGCCTTAAGTGGTGCTTAACGGAATTCGTTTTGTGTCCTTGTTTTCAGCTTGCTCCAGATGACGCCTGGCGCTGCCCGCACTGTAAGCAGCTGCAGCAGGGGAGCATTACGTTAAGCCTCTGGACTCTGCCTGATGTGCTTATTATACATCTAAAGAGATTTCGACAGGTAGGTAAATCCTCTGTCTTAGTGAGAAAAGCTGTGGCCATGTTTCTTACACCTCTACTGGTGGGCTGCATGGGGATTCTTTGGGTGTCTCTGTTTGATCTAGTGTTCCTGTCCATATTGTTAGACACACACACATCTGCCCCAGTGTTTGGGGTCATGTTTTGTTCTTACCCAAAGCAAAATTTGAACATCTTGTGACCCTTTAAATTCTAAACATTTTAGTTCTTACTGCAGATATTTTACTTTGTTCTTGAGGACTTGCTTTAGATTTGTAAATGCTGTGTTTTAAATTTTAGTAAGTATATTTTGGTATTTAAAAAAAAAAAAGTAGAGCTCCTTTCTGGGGTGGGTAGAATTCTCTTTGTACCTAAAGTAATAATGGGTGTTATCCTGCTCCCAAGGAGCTGTCGTATAGTTGGGAAGGTGAGTCATAAATATATACAGAGAAAAGGTGCTTTGAGCTGTATTACTCTGAGTCAGTTTTTCCGAAAAGGCTGTCTATTCCCTGAGGTTAGGGTTGTCCTGGGCGGGCCCCATTGTAGGAGAGGTGAAGAGGAAGTAAATGTTTAAGGAGTGTCTGAGGCCTGGCTTTAAGGTTTGTATCTGAAAGATTAGGAGGAGGCATCTCCCAGGTGAGGAGGGGAGCAGGGCTGTGCACTCAGCGGTGGCAGAGGGAGCAATGCATGCAAAGCCCTGAGTGTGGATAGCATGTGCCAGAGACTGAAAGCAGGCCAATTTGGCTGCAGCTCCAGAGGATGGGGGAAGCTGTGAGCTGAGGTGGAAGGGGTGCGCAGGGGCTGGCCAAGCAGACCCTTGTGGGCAGAGTGGGATTCTGATAAAGGGTTATAAACAGAGAAGCAACATGACCAAATTTGTGATTTGAAGAGACCATTCTGGCTGCCGTGTAGAGAATGTGAGGCTGCACGAATGAAGCTAGGGAGATCTGAAGGGAACCAAGGCAACCATCCAGGGGAGGGATGCTGATGGCTTCTATGGAGCAGTGGCAATGGAGATGAGATCGGAATAGAATCAAAAGATGTTTAGGACTTGCTGATGAAGTGGAGGTGTCTGCGGTGACATGCACAGGATCCCCAGGGCTGGGCTTTCACTCAAAGGTTTAGGGTCTGGCTCCTTTAGTAAAGAATGTCCCAACTGCATGCTTCCATTGGGATCTGCAGGTAGAGAGCTGGTGAGGTTCAGAGCCCAGCCTTCTCTGGCCCCTTCCACATATGCACACTAACTTCCTTCGCTTTCTGTTTCTTTAGAAGGCATGTCCCCACCCTTACCACACCTCGGACTCAAAACTGCAGTGTCGCTTTTGACTTCTTTCTTGTCCCTCCCCTATAGCCAGTTACCTCTTCAGTTTGGTTGTGCCTCTGCATGGCCTCCTGAGTGTGTCCCCTTCTCCCCATTCTTTTTCTTTTTTTTTTTTTTAAAGATTTTAATTATTTATCTCCCGCCAGAGAGAGCATGGGAGAGAGAGAGAGCATGAGAGGGGGGAGGGTCAGAGGGAGAAGCAGACTCCCCGCTGAGCGGGGAGCCCGATGTGGGACTTGATCCCGGGACTCCAGAATCATGACCTGAGCCGAAGGCAGTTGTTTAACCAACTGAGCCACCCAGGCGCCCCCCTTCTCCCCGTTCTTGGCCGTCAGCATGCCACTGCAGACCTGTGAGACTTCCCAGCTGGTTGCAGTCACATTGTCTTCTCCTTGATTTCTTAGCCTAAGCTGCTCCTCCCTTCGTGTCACGTCCTGTGCACTGCTTACACAGCTCTGATGACATCCCCTCCGCCCTCAGGCCTCAGTGCTTGACTGCAGAACAAGGTCCAGATTCTTTAGTCTGACCTTCCTGACCATCCAGGGCTCATCCTGCCTTTCTCTTACGAACATTTTTCTTCTCTTAATAGATCCATGGCTCCTTGGGGTGGGCGTTAGCCATGGCTGTTAATTTCTTAAAGCTCCCACAGACACAGGAAACATTTAGAAAACAGCTATTGAGCTGACGGTTGGATTTCAGAGGATTTCCCAGTGGCCTTAATGGAAAGTACAGATTACCTAAGATTATCAACTAAATGAATATATCAAGTCAGTGTTAAGCGGTAACATGCTTGTTGGAGGAGGTGGGGGGGGGGGTGATAGGGCGCACTGCTTATCCAGCGCTGTTCTGTGCGCATTGTCCCTCACATACATGAGCACTCCATCGCTGTTCATGCCTCTATGACAGAGGTATCAGGATGAACTGCCTGATAATGTCATTTTGTAAGTCTAAAACCTAAAACCCCTCTATCAGATAAGGAAATGGACTCAGAGGCTCATCACCCCTTATATGTAGGTCATTGCTTGTTCTACTTTTAGTGGTATTACAACCTGTTCCTCCAGACAGTTAAAACTGTTAGTGAGTTTCCCTATTTTGAATGTGTCTTGGGAAACATCAGGTAACTCAAACCACTCTAGCTGATAGGGTCCACATTCCACACAAAACTGATCTACCATCTACTTGCATGAAAATATCATCAGAACTTATTTTTCTTCTTGCAACAGGAAGGAGACAGGCGTGTGAAACTTCAGAACATGGTCAAGTTCCCCTTGACTGGCCTGGACATGACACCTCATGTGGTTAAGAGAAGTCAGAGCAGCTGGAGTTTGCCATCCCATTGGTCTCCATGGAGACGGCCCTATGGACTCGGGAGGGACCCTGAGGACTACGTCTATGACCTGTATGCTGTGTGCAATCATCATGGCACCATGCAAGGGGGGCACTACACAGGTCTGCAGTGCGAGAGGCCGGGCGTCTGTGCTGACCCTTCCTTCAGACAGGTTTTACTTGTGACAGGGATACTTTTGCTTTAGAACAGTGTGCCAACTTTGAGGGCAGCTTTCATCCTCTGGATCGCTGTCCAAGAGCAAATAAATGAAAATTCTAACTTCTTTTCCTGAGTTGGGTCCTCCAGTAGTTGTCTGACCTGACTGGGGAGCGGTGTGTGCAGACAGCGCCATCTGGGCCACCAAGGGCTCACTGTGATTACCTCCCCTGCACTCCACATTTAAGGTTTCACTCCACCTCCTTGAAATTCTAGCTTCTCCCTTATTTGGAGTGATTTTATGAACCAGCTTTATAGTGACTTGGAAGAGTTTTTCTCTTTGTTTTAAGGCTAAATTTATTTTTCATTTTTTAAAAGCAACTGTGTTCATTATCTGAAATTTATAGGCTAGAGAGAAAGAGAGAACATTACCATAACCATTGGCAACATTTTTTAAAAAATTGTGATAAATATACATATCAAAATTGACCATTTGAACCATGTTTGAAGTGTGCAGTTCAGTGGCGTTAAGTACATTCACGTTGTTTTGTGGCCCTCACCACCATCCCGTCTCCAGAACATTTCTTCTTCCCAAACTGAAACATTAAACAGTAATTCCCCTCTGCCCTCTTCCCCCCATCTCCTGCCACCACCAATCTTCCTGTCTCTATGAATCTGATTACTCCTGGAACCTTCTGTCAGTGGACCCATACAGTATTTGTCCTTTTGTGTTCAGCTTAGTTCATGTAGCATAATGTCTGTAAGATTCACCCATGTTCTAATATGTGTCAGAATTTCCTTCCTTTTTAAGACTGAATAATAATATCCCTTGTACGTAGGTAACATTTCTTCCAGTGTTTTTCTGTAAGTTTTGGCCATTATTTTACACTGTCATGATTGTACTGGTAGGTTCTATTTAGGTGAACATTCATGGAGCACGTCCTGCATAGCTTGCCCTGGGCTCACATCAGAGGCACATCTGAAATGAATAGGCCTCAACCTCTGTCTTCCCGGAGTGTAATCAGGTAGGGGGAAATAGGGCCAGATGATACGTAAGATCAGTAATGTGTCATAGGTTCTGTGGTGGAAATGTGCACAGGGGGTAGAGCAGGGGGCCATGGGAATGTGGTCAGAGCATGCTAGAGGCACAGGAGAAGCTGTGGGGATAGTAACCTGCCCTCTGTACTTCAGGACCAAATGGGCTGACGGGGAGACAGACAATAAAAGTTTCAGAATCAGAAGCACAGTGAGGTGCGAGTGCTATGTACATGTCCCCGTATCCCAGTCTTCACACTTGACTGTAACAGAAGTATTTGGATGTTGGTGCTTAATTTTTATACACTGTTTTTTCATGACCACAGAACATTCTGTTGATGGAACTCTAATTTTATATAGCCATTCCCCATTGTTGAACATGTCTACTGTCTCTGGTTTTTAACTTTGACTGTAACACTGATGAATGTCTTTTAGTTTATATTCTAGTTTTGTAATTCCTCGAGATTGGTCTCAGAACTGGAATTATTGGCTTAAGGGCATGTGTGAACATCGGGGTGGCAGGCAGGTGTGGGGACTCTTCCTTGGACATTTGTGTTTGGGGGGAGTCCATGGAGGGCGCTGCTGTTAATTTGGCAGTCTGTATGGGTGGGCGGCCAGGACTTGGATTTTTTTTGCTTCCTTCACACTAAGCACATTTCACATGTGTACTTCTAGGGACTTCCTTTCTTTATGAACTCAGTGCTTCATGCAATAAGACTCCAGGGCACCGGTGATTCATAAAGGTCAGGGGAGGTGGAGGAGGTTGGGCTCCACCAGTTAGTTTTTAAACATCTGTGAGACCCTTCCCTAGCAGTTAGCCCCGAGAGCCCCCTCAGCAGGCTCCCGAACCCCTCCACCAGCACGCTCACTCAGCCTGCTCTCGGAGACCACAGGAGGCGGGGATGCGGCAGGTGACTGGATACAGTAATCTTTTATTCTTGAAACCCTTTTAGCTCACCTTCGTTTAGTACTTAGATGCTGCAGGCAACAATTATTTGTGAGAGGAATGATCCCAACTTGGAGTGTATCTCATAGTAGAACGGTTTGTTTCGCCTCTACCCGCCCTAGGAAGCACACTCAGGGAGAAAAACGAGATAGAGAAGTCGAAGACCCTAGAAGACAAAAGTTAATTAAACATTTAGATATATTTTACCTTGTATTTTGGTTTAAATCAAATTTAAAATCTGATAAGACTGAATTTTGTGTCTTGCATATTTTGTATTTATGTTTTATGGGGCCAGTTGCATTTAAATGTCATGTGTCTGATTGGATGTTTGCCTTTGTGGTGTTACCACTCATGTCTGTGTTCTTTGATCCTGAGTAATAGAATTATACACTCATGGACTCTTCAAATGGAAAGGAACTTAGAGGTGATTCCAGTCCACTGGTTAGCTGGTGTGGTAACACCTTTTCCAGCATCCCTGGTTAGTGTTCACGCAGCTTCAGCTTCGGTAAAGAATGTGTCTTCCATTGATAATATTGTTTCTCAGGAAAATAATGCAGTTTTCAACAAGAAATTGTTGAGAAAAAGAGGACAGTACTGGATTTTATCCTATCGTGTTCTTCTTTATATAGAGTGGGCTTTGGAAAATGCCTGAAAACCTGCAGGTACTTGGGAGGCCCCATAGTTTAGAGTCAGGAGCATGGGCTAGAAGCTAGACACCTCTTCCACGCTCTGTGACCTACAGCAGGTGACCTTACATGAACTTGGTGACTACGCCAGTGAACTAGAAGTGCTCGGACCTGCCTCTCGCGACCTATTGTTACCTAGGAAGAGCTTAGGCACTTTCTGCATTATTTCCCCTTTGTGATGCCTAGGCCATACCACTGCTTTTCTGATTGATACATAAAAGTTTAGGGTTTTAGTTTAGAGAACATTTTAAATGCCTTTGTATTGTTGAATTCAAGATAACATGTTTTTAAGTCTTTATTTGGAATTTTATTTTGTACTAGTTCTAGCTATAATCACATGGTATGTGTATGGCTAACTTGTGTATGAATTCTAGATCAAACTTCCATGATGAAGAACCTGCCTTTTTTCTTTTTCAAAATTTCCAGTTTTTCATGAATCAGTCTTTGTAAAAATACAGAAAGAATATCACGGCAGTGTCAGATTGCTATTTAAATGCTAATTTCAGTTTGGGTGCTTATCTTGTTGTGGACCGGCACCAGTCTACGAACCACAATTTGAGTAGCACTTGTCTAGAAAACACTTGAGAAGCTAGTGCCAGGAAGAAAAGCAAGTAGAATTATTTGGTAAATACACTGAAACCATTAGTGATTTGCCATGCTGCCTTAGTTGCCTTGCTGTGACTGGGAACAGACCACCCTGAAGAGAAACAGACTGATGCTAGTGCTGGGCTGTTCTGTCACCTTGTCTTGGGCGAGTCCCACTCCAGAAGAGCAGCCACCTCGCCAGCCGGGTCATTTCTATATCGAGCCTGACCTGACACCACTGGCCAGTTGCCGTTTTACCAGCTCCATGTGCTACCTCTCTCTCTACTTCTCTCCCCTTCTGGTCCTAGGAGCCCATAGCGGTCCATGATTTCCCTCCCCACGATCAAAGATTCTTATTCTGCTCTTCTCTTCGGGGACCTCTCCGGTGTAGCCCCTCCTCGCCTCAGTCCCTTTCATTTCTTAAGGTTCCATACTCACAAATGTGGTTGTCGCCTGCGAGGGAGTCACTCTTTGGCACCTCAGGACACTATGTGCCCTGCCTCGGAGTGTTGAGCAAAATATTCTAGCACTCATTTATTCTTACTCCAATAAATGGGTATTTTTAGAAAGCGTGATAAGAATGTACCCCTTTGGATCAAGTTTAATCACACCTCTTGATATATCCTTACAAGATCACATGGCTTCATGAACACTAAGTTCTTGTCTGCTTTTGTTGGTACTCGAATGGTCTTTATTTCTCTCTCAGGCTTAGAATTTGAACTGGAGAGAAACACGCATGCATTTATGAGCTCAAATGTTCTTAGTTTGCTGGGGGACTTCCACTGGGGCCTTGTTGGTGCTACCCCTGAGAAGCAGGGTGGGGTAGTTTAAGTGCAAGCTCAGGGACTAGATACACTTGATATGAACTGGGCCCTGCTTTTCACCAGCTGCTTGACCTTGGGCAAACTCGTTCATTTTTTTGAGCCTCTGTAAAATGGAAATAATAATAGAACAAATGTCATAGGATTAGCTGAGAAGTTTGGCACATAATAAGTGCTAAACAAATATTAGCTGCTGCTAGTATTAGTATCATTATTTCTAGTTCTATTTTCTATCTCTAATAAACACTAAAATGTGACAACATGCTTATATCAGGGTTTCCCAGCCTCAGCACTCTTGACAGTATGGCTGGATAATTCTTGTGGCGGGGACTGTCCTGGGCATTGTAGAATGTTTAGCAGCATCCCCAGTCACCCACTCAATGCCAGTAGCACCCTAACCCCTAGTATGACAGTCAAAAATGTCTCCATTCATGGCCAGATGTCCCTAGGGGAGCAAAATTGTCCCAGGTTGAGACCCACTGGTTTAAATAAATGAGTATATTGTGTTTTCTAAGATTAAATAGAATTCTGTCCATTTGGAATAGTTTAAAATTTCCTGAAACATTTTGCCTGAGCGTGATAGGCGATTTGGATTTTTTACCCCTTCATATGTTACTACATGCAGCTTTAAAAAGCTCTTGAGTTAATGATACGAGCCAAAGCACTGGTGTCTGTGGGCAGAGTGGAGTGGTTGGTGCCCCCCTCCCCTGGTACTGATGACAGGCTCTTCTTTGGCAGCGTACTGTAAGAACTCTGTGGATGGCCTCTGGTACTGCTTCGATGACAGTGATGTGCAGCAGCTGTCGGAAGATGAGGTCTGCACACAGATGGCATACATCCTTTTCTACCAGAGGCGGACAGCTATTCCATCATGGTCGGCCAACAGCTCAGTGGCAGGTAAGGCCAACTTATTCTTTGGCAGGTTTTTCTAGAACAGAAGATTGTAATTAATGGTCCAGAGAACTCCACAAGGTCTCCTGACTCTGAGGTTGATCAGATCAATCCTCACATTTGCATTTAATCTGGAAACCAAAATGATTGTGGTCAAGGAAATAGGGGTGGAATGTGTGAACCAGCAGCATTCACATGGAAGCATGTAGAGCCTGTCTCAAAGTGAGCACGCCATGTCTGCTTGTGGAATTAATGAATGAATGGATGAATGGAAGGAAGGAAGAAAGGAAGGAAGGAAGGAAGGAAGAAAAAAAAAAAAAGCAGTACGGCATGCTACTCTAAAAGGGAATGAGACTTGGCTTTGCCATGTTTTGGTTGGATCCATCATCTTGGAGCACATCCCATCCAAGCCACATGTTTAATCATCTGTAATGTGGGAGTACTAATAATACCTGCCTTATGGGGTCATTGTGTGCATCAGATTAGGAAAATGTACGTTAGAGCCTTTTAGAAAAGGTAAAGCACCATTAAAAATAGTTCCTTTTTCCCTGTGCAGTCGGCCTGTTCCATTAGAAGGGTTGAAGGCTACAGTCTATTAGATGGGCTGGGTTTAGCTGGATGGGGTCTAGTCTGGATGCAGCCACACAGTCCAGGCAAGGCGATGCATGCTTCTTAATGCAGAGTTTAAGAAACTGTGGCTGAGGACGGGGACATGGTAACATGGGATCATGTTAGAGAGTATTAACCCTGGGTTGAAGCTTGTGAGGGGTAGGTTCGAAGCCGCTGAAAGGCACAGCTGAAGCAGAGTGAGCCCCTGCTGGAGTCAAGCCTCACTCAGTACACCTGCCTCTCCGTAGCCACTCACTCCTTTAAGAGAGTGGGAACTCTAGTGCTCTAGTGCTTTTCCCCAGTGCTTTCCGGAGCCTGAGATATGCTTGGAAATTACACCCTCTTGAGGTCTATTTGAGACATGTTCTCAATTTGAGAGCAGTTTCTGTTGCTCTGGAATATATTTCAGGGCATCCCTGGAATGGACAGTACAGATTGACATATATCCTGGGTGTGTGCATGTGTGTGTGTTTGTATATTAACATCGTGAAAATGACGTAACGACTCCACAAAGCAGTGAGGCTAAGAAGATAACGGAGCATGCCACTTTTATTTGCTCTGTGTCAGAATTTTTTCTGTGTGTGCTTAGAACAGTACTCGGCAGTAGGTGCTTAATAAATATTTGTAGAATGAGTATGAACGATTCAATTGCCAGCACTTAAGACCTGCACTTTGCATTACGAAGTGTCCACGCCTATACTTGCATTTCATTACTATAAATATGTGCGAGAGTCTGGCCTCCTTCTTCTCATCATAAAGGGATATTCAAGCAGGCGCAGGTCTGCTCGAGGTCTGGGAATTAATACTGACGTCGGCCACCTCCCAGCTCCGGCAGCAGCACTTTTGTGAGGGTGTGTGCCAAGCCGCTGGCCCGGGATTCTGGCCTGACCTCAGTGCCCGCTTTCTTTACTGCAGGCTCCACAAGTTCTTCCTTGTGTGAACACTGGGTGAGCCGGCTTCCGGGGAGCAAGCAAGCCAGCGTGACCTCTGCAGCTTCCTCCAGACGCACCTCCCTGGCCTCGTTGTCCGAGTCGGTGGAGATGGCCGGGGAGAGGAGTGAAGACGATGGTGGGTATGGGTTTTGTGACACATTTCTATAATGGTGTCTCATAGACACAGCACAGGGTCCCTCATGCTTAGGAATTAAGCCCCAAGAAGACTGGGAGAAGGTAAAAGGGCTGTGTAGCTGTGGGTTACAATCATAAGTGCCATTTTCTATAAACCGGATTATTCGCTTTTCCTCTGTGACCTCTAGGATGACTTTCTCCTCCTACTTCATTATTTTCCACTTTTAAGGTCTAGCGTGGAGGCTGGAGCTTTAACTCTGTATAATGTATACATTTCTTTCAAAGTGCTTTTCAAAGTTCCTAAAATAAGCTGTAAGGGGACTCTGCAAGGATGATTTGCCCAGGGCCTCCTTCCTGGCAAGGAGGAGTCGCTGTGCTGGCTCCGCTGGGGGCTTCCTGACTCTTGGCTTCTCCCCTTTCCGCCGCGGTTTCCTTTAGAGGAATTTGTGGCATGTTCTTTTAAGTACAGAAGCATCTAGAACAAAAACTCTTGCTTCTGCATAAAGATAGTTTTTAAGAATTCTGAAGATGGTCACAATATAAAAACTTGGGAAATATGATACAAATAGAACTCTTTTTTTTTTTTTTTTTACCTTTACTTACCACTTGTGTAATGGCAGGAGAACCCTCAGTTCTGACAGGAACCCCAGGTGGTGCAGGAGGGATCAGGCAGCCCAGGCACTGAGGCTGGGAGGAGGCGAGAGTGAGCTCAGCTTCTCTAATGAGGATGGTGCCTCATCTCCCAGCAAGTCTCCTTCTGCAGCCAGCATGTCAGTTGCTGTAATCCTGTAGTCTGCGTCTAGTGATGGGTAATTGTGAGAACGTGAAGTGGAGGGAAACAACAGGAGGCTGGAAGGGGCTGCTTGGCCGGGGAGGTCTGCGTCATTGTAGCTCCAGCCCCTCTCCCTCTTCTGGCTTGTTGCCTCTTTATTTGTAAAATAACAAGAGTACTTAGCTGGAATTGCTAAGCTCCTGACATTTTAGGGAAAACCAGCCAGTGGATCTTTGCTTGTTTAGGTAGAGGTTTTTCTCAATGCAGCCTTTAAATTTAGAATTCACTGTTGTTTTAACAGTAAGCTGGTTTGCCCTCGGTCTGTGTAGTTGGTGAAATCAGTATCCTCTTAAGCATCATCATCACACTGGTGCCGGGTGGTGCCCACAGAACAGAGGCTGTCTCTGGGGATCTTATCTGGATGGTTTTATAAATACCACAGCTACGGTACCAAGTATGTATGAAATTTAATTTAGGATATTTTCTTTGGAAGGAAGTATTAAGGCACTCAAAATAGAAGTATGTAGTTCTAATTATGAACTTTTTCTTTGGAAGTTGGAGATGACTCAGGAGTATATTATTCTAATTATGGATATTGCCTTTAGAAGTTTGAAGTCACTCAGGATAGGAGTGTATTGTCTGTGGTTCTTTCCACCGGTCTGCTGTTATAGTCAATAATTACAAGCCAGGCTCCATGTGGCATTGAGTCGGGGGCAAGGGTTTGTGGTTCTGGTGTTAGCTCTGCCTCTGATTCTGTGTAATCTTGAGCAACGACTTGACTTCTGTGGGCCCTGGTTCTCCTTAGTTAGATGAAGAAGCTGAATCAGCAGCTCACATTTACTAAGCGTCTGTGAAATGCCAGGTGGGCATAGGACTTTCAGGATTTTATCTAGTTCTTATAGTAGTCCTGTGAGTTAGAGCAGACAGCCTATGGGCCAAATATGGCCCCTGCCTTTATTTGTAAATAAGGTTTTATTGGAACACAGCCACACTCGTTTGTTTATGTGTCTTCTGTGGTGGCTTTCATGCTGCAGTGACAGAGTTGAGTATTTGGCCCACAAAGCCTAGAGTATTAATTGCCTGGGCCGTTAAGTCTCTTGACCCCCGACGTACAGCAAGAAGTAAAGAGTTTGCCGATCCCTGAGTTAGAATGTCCCTATTTTATAGATAGAAGAACTGAGCTCAGAAAAGTTGAAGTCACGTGGCTGCTCTTATGACCTCAGACATGCTGGTTCTGAAAGTCACGCTCCTGTCATTCCACCAGGCTTGCCTTCCTTCCATCTTCAGTATCTTAAGGTGTTGCTGGGACATGTTTTCGGTTTAGCTTAATGCTATTCTCTCTGCTGCATTCAGGAGGTTTCTCAACTCGACCATTCGTGAGAAGTGTCCAGCGTCAGAGCTTGTCATCCAGATCTTCTGTCACCAGCCCCTTGGCCGTTAACGACAATTGCATTAGACCTTCTTGGTCCTTGTCCGCCAAGCTGCAGATGCGCTCCAGTTCTCCCTCCCGGTTCTCAGGGGACTCTCCGATCCACACCTCTGCCTCCACCTTGGAGAAGATTGGGGAGGCAGTGGATGACAAGGTCTCCATCTCTTGCTTTGGCAGCTTAAGGAACCTTGCCAGCAGTTACCAGGAACCAAGTGATAGTCACAGCCGACGTGAGCACAAGGCTGTGGGTCGGGCCCCTCTGGCTGTCATGGAAGGTGTGTTCAGAGATGAATCAGACATCCGCAAATTGAACTCCAGTGTTGTAGACACACAGAGCAAAAACTCAGCACAAGGGGATCGTGTGCCCCCAGTCTCTGATCCATTTGATAACAATAACCAGATTGCTTATGTGGATCAGAGCGATTCTGTAGACAGCTCTCCAGTCAAAGAGGTGAAACCCACAAGCCACCCGGGCTCCCTCACAAAGAAATCAGACAGCACAGCCAAGAGATCCCCCAGCTCCAAAGGCGCTTCTGAGCCAGATAGAAGCTTGCGGAAGGGGAGACCAGTCTTGGCAAGCCAGGAATCATCTCTTTCAAGTACATCTCCTTCTTCTCCTGTTCCTGTAAAAGTTTCTATAAAGCCCTCCCACTCCCGAAGCAAAGCAGATTCTTCTTCCAGGGCCAGTGGACGGCATTCCTCCCCTGCCTCTGGCCAGCCCAGAAAGGAGTCCTCCCCCAAACCCCAGGACTCCGTGTCATCTTCGCCCCAGAAGCAGAAATCATCTTCCTCTCTCACCTACACTGCTTCCTCCACATCTGCCAAAAAAGCCTCGGGCTCTGCTGCAAGGGGTCCCTTCCCTCCTGGGAAGAGCAGGACTTCAGACCGGAGCTTGAGTAGAGAGGGCTCCAGGCAAAGCCTGGCTTCGGACAGAGCCAGCGTCACCTCCAGCTCTAAACCCAACTCCCCTCGGGTGAACCAGGCCAGGGCGGGGGAGGGCCGAGGGGACGGAAAGCACGTCAGGAGCTCCTCCATGGCCAGCCTGCGTTCCCCCAACACAAACATGAAGGCTGGTCTGAAGAGGGACAGCAAGTCGGAGGACAAGGGGCTATCCTTCTTCAAGTCAGCCTTGAGACAGAAGGAAACCCGGCGGTCGACTGACCTTGGCAAAACAACCTTGCTCTCCAAGAAGGCCGGTGGGAGCTCTGTCAAGTCGGCTGGTAAGAATGCTGGGGATGAGAAGGCAGAGAAAGGCTACCAGCCTCCAGGTTTCCAGCAGCCAAGTGCAAGTGCAGTTGGAAAAGAGCAGCTTGTCTCCAAGGACCCTGCTTCTGCTAAACATTCCCTGCTGTCCGCTCGCAAATCCAAGTCTTCCCAGCTAGATTCTGGAGTGCCCCCATCTCCTGGTGGCAGGCAGTCTGCTGCGAAATCCTCAAAACAGTTCTCTTCTAGCATGCAAACCTCTGCACGGCCTTCTCAAAAACCTCAGTGATGTTTCTGCAATCCAAGTGTTTTATCTGTAAAGATGTTTATTTATTTAGAACCCCTTCCCTCCCACCAAAGCCCTCTATGCTTTTGTTTTGTATGTTTCGGGTCACGTGCCTAGTGTGTGTGCGTGTGCGCGCGTGTGTGTGTAGAATTCAACTGCAAATTGTTAAAAGCGTCGCCTTATTCTGCCATTGAACCAAATAACAGCCATAGGCAAAGCATTGATACCAAGCTAACTGGAATAATTGTAGACGAGACCCTGGGTGGTCCCTTTAGCAATTGTACATATTTCTTTCTAGAGAACTCTAATGACTTTTGTTGGATACTAGGGTTTGGAAACCTGTGAGCCAGTTAAGCTGTCATTAGTGTGTGCTGTGGAAGGACCGGTTATTTGACTTGGGTTTCCTCTGAGCAGGATTTGTCCTCACAGCTAATTGTCATGTGGCACCAGGAGCTCTAAAAACTGTGACGCTAACAGTGAAACAAACCGAGAGAAGACTGTTGCTTTCTGCACTTTGGCCCCATCTACCAGTCTCTGCAAAGGGCAATATTTTAACACTAATGTTTCTCAGGTATATACTCAGCTAGTCTAGGGTGGATGCACAATGAAGAAGGTGGCCTGTGAGTGACTGTCATTTCTCCGACTGCCACAGATAGAAATTTCTAGAGGTAGAAATGAAGTCTTTCATAGCTTCATGTCTGCAAAGATGTGTGTACCATAAGCTGTCTTGATTCTTAGGATATGTCCTAAGAGGTGGCAAATTGGACAGCCAGAGAGCCAGTCACTGATTAATTTTGTTTTCCTTCTAAATTCGCTAGCTATGGCCATGGGGTTTTGAAAGGTAGAGCAGTTGACATCTTTGAAAGATTTCCGGAAAAAAATGGATTCTGAACTGGATGCATGAATCTGTACCATTTTCCTTCTCTGGTGTTGCTTTTTTCTATGTTAGAAGCTGAAAGCTCCGTGTTGCCCTGTGTGCGCATGCCCATGTTTCTTGTAACTTGGAGAGGAAAGAAGTTGCCTAATGCCAAAAGTCAGTTGATGGTGTGTTGAAGCAACGTGTGACAAAGTATTATGTGTGCGCTTCTGATGCTGCCTGTCAGTCTCAGTTGTAGACTGCTTTTCAGTAAGTCATTTATTTCTTCTTTGTGCTTAAGACTTAATCTCTTACCCAGGACTCAGAAGCAGGATTGGAGCATGTTCCATCTGGCATTGTCAGTGCAAATTGCATTTCTTGTTTAGAAAACCAGGGAACCTCACAAAAATCTTACAGATAAGCAAGATACATAGTTCTTCAAGCTTTCTGGAGGTATCCTGGCAATTTTTAGCTTTTTTTTTTTTTTTTTCTATTTTTTTAAAAATGTCAAGAGAGTCATGGTCCTGATTCTCTTCGAATAGCATTTGTCACTTTGCCATGAAATATAGCATGCTAAGTTTATATGCTTTTAAATATTAACTTTTAAAAAAATTATAAACCCTTCCAGTTCTTCCTGAACTCTTGGTGCACAGATCCATTTATAACCTCCTTTTTCAGTATTGCTGTCTGTGAAGTAATTAGAACATGTACACATGCATAGCTATGAATTCTGCACTGCCTTTTTTTTTTTTCCTGTCCCCCCCTCCCCCCGCCCCCATGAATACCTCTTGGGAAATATTTCCAATAGGTTTCTAACTTTATTTTGCTGCTACTTTGAGCATTAGCAGGTAACTTGCAAGTCTGGAGGACACTTATGTTGAGGGTAGCTGGCATTTTAGACCCTTGCAATTTTTAAGACTTGGCTACTCAGCCTTGTGAAAGTTACCATAGTGCTCCATGAAGTTCATTGAACGTGAGCCTTTTGCCCGGTGCACTCGGTCCTGTACTCACCCCTTCACTAGGTATCGCTGTTGCACTGCATGGGCTTCTGGTCTCCCAAAGCAGCGTTCCTCTCCTCTACTGTAGTGTGACTGTCGAAGACTGGCTGCCCTCAGTGTGGTCACTGCTTCCACGGGCACCCTGACAGCCCCATCAGTGTTTAGCCACCGCTGGTTTTTCTGTGTCACTTTTATTTCCTGGGAAGGATGCACCAAGTATGGGATCATCAGTATCAGGAGTTGAATGTTTGTCTGATTTGAGCCTCTCGTCTTTCTTTGAAATAGATAAATCTCATTTGAAATCTCCTATCTGAAGCTCTGAAACAGCCTTAGAATTATAGTTTGACTACATAAAGGTTTTTAATAACACCTTTTTCTGGGGCTGTTACCAGTTAAGCATAAGTAGGATCTAGTTTAACTTTCACAGTGGCAAATATTTTTATTCTCAAGTCCTCCAGGAATGGATTTTCCATTATATCTAGTGTTTTCAAAAAAACAAAAAACAAAAACAAGCAAACAAAAAAAACAACTCTACAAATTTCTTTAATTTTCCATGGGACCTAGAAATAAAATTTCAGTATCTGTAAATAATATGTCTATGGAGTTTAGTCTTTTTTTTTTTTTTTTTCAGATTTAAATGAAAAAAAAATCAGGAAGTATAATGGCGTTGTCTAGACTTCTTTAAGCTGTTCCATTTCTGTGCTTGGTAAATAATGAAAATCTCATCCATATCTACTAGGTACAACCTTTAAGTCACGGAAAAGGTTATTTGCCCAAAAGTTTGAAGGTGCTCTTTGAGGTGTGAAAGATCTTATGGGAAAATTATTACTTGGTTCAATTCAGTTGTTCAGTAGGTTAGGGACTTGATGTTTGTTTTGTTTTTTATTTTCTCAGTGATGTTTGGCACATTGAGCATATCTATGCTTTGGGGTTAAAAATGATCTGCCAAGGTTGGTGGGCCTGAGTTTCTGGTTGGCAACCAGGTGGGCCTGATTAGAGCAGTCATTTCCTGGTAGGCACAGAGTAATCCCTGACAGGAGTGTGGCTCCTTAATGTTTTTTGCTTTTAAAAAACTTTTTATTTTTGATTTCTTTTCCTGTGAACATCCAGTGCACTGAGGCTATGTCATTCCTTCAGACGGCCCTACACCTTGCCTTTGTAATCCCTTGTATAATGTGGAACCACAACGAAACTGTTAAGCTCATGTCATCTCAAGATCACCTCCCAGCCCTTGTGTTTTCCCATCCTAAAAGCAGCCTAACTGAAAGGAAGTAATACCTTGCTGGGCCAATAGAAATGGATGTGGGAGTATTTGTGGTCTGGTAAAATATTGTAATTCTTGATGAAGCTGCCGTAAATCCTTGTAATCATTCTTTCCTCATTCATTCATTCATTCTGCAAGCATTCGTTGAGGGCCTGCTTTGCTCGTAAAGACAAGTGGAAAGCGTCAGGAATTCGCTGTAGCCGAGGAGCCCTGGGAGCCCAGCCGATGAGCCAGGGGATGCCAGTGATACCCTAAATGGGGTGACGGTCCCCCCCCCCCAAACAGAGAGCAGATGGATTCTGGTGAAGCAGTCAAGGCCTGTGGTCCTCTTGAGCAAGTCTCTCCTGTTCCGGAAACCAAAAGTGCCCTTCTTCATCTTCGGAGACATTTTACTCTTACATCCACTTTTTCAGACTGAGCTGTCTCTACTACTTAGGGGTTGAAAATCCATTACGAAGTCACTTTCCATTAGAATTTGGTCATCCACGTGTGTATGAAATAGATGTGGGGGTTGGGGGAGGGGGACAAATTGCCATCCCTCTAAAGTAACTATCATGGAAAAAACTAGGGACAGTTTGTCCAGGAAGCAGTAGTGTCAGCCTTTAGGAAAAATGGAGCAGAGATGAGCTGTGAACAAAGCTCACTTATTTCAAATACACATGTTTTTTTAAAAATAGATTGACATCTGACGTTACATTTCATTCTGACAAATTACCGAAGAGCTGAAGTTCTTGTTTCCTATGTAGGTTATCGGAATTATTGGATGCCAAGATAATTAGTGTTTCTGGGTTGGATTTTTGAGATAGTATGCAAATCATAAGCACAGTTTCAATAAAACACATATTCTGTGAGGCGTGTTGAACTTGTATTATTTGGAATTGAGAAGAGCAAAATTTGCTGACAAACCAGCGCCTATATCATAAACAGAAAGCAGCTGTCTGTGCTGTGCTGTCTGTCTTCATGTTCATAAAGGACACATTACTGTGTTAAACCTGACTACATTTTTTGAGGGGAAATCCTGTGCTTTCTTTAAATGAACACTTAGTGTTTCACACTGCCTTTTGATCAACTCTCAAAGTGTTCGTTTTGCAGCTGCAATTTGAGCATGACCAGTCATTTTTTCCCCCAAGTAATGACAGCAGTTTTGCTTGGCCTCCATATAACCCAGAAAGCATGTTCTTACCACCTATGCAAACAACTAATAAAATGTAGACTACCCTAAATGTAAATTTTAAAAAAGGCAGTTCTTGGATTATGGAGCTCTATTTTTGAATTTGTAATTTTTTACATGTGGCTTTATCATCAATACTGAAGAGCCTGAATATGTTTTCTTGTTTTGCTTTGCACATGTTTCTCTTTGCTGTTTTGTTTTGTTTTTGTTTTTTGATCGTTGGCAAGATTGTATGTAAAATAAGTATTTTGCAAGCAGGAGTGGAATTGGATATGTTGAACACACATGGGTTTATATACTGTATTTAGCCTGAACATTTTTCCTAAAGTATTTTGTTCTAAAAATAACCTGCCATTTTCTATAGATTTTAATTTTTTATATCTCCTAGGGTTCTATCGTGGTCACAGGGAGAGAATGTGGCTTCTAATAGTGCTAACAATTTTAAAATGCTTTTGTAGAGACTTAGAGCTGTTTTGAAAAGCTTTGGAGCTTCCCAACCACTGGTCACAATAAGACTAAGCTCGTGGAATTTATGGTAGCATTCTATAGTGGATTAGGTTCTAGATCCATCTCATAAGCATTTAAAACAGGTGTTTCCCAATTTTGGAGGGAAGGGGGATCCACTGCAGGCTTGCGAGCCTTTTTTCAAATCTCATACATGTACTCTCACCAAGATTCTGTTAAGCCTCTTCTGAATGACTTGTCTGAGATTCTGATACTCAGCATTCACTAGCATCATCTAGAGAACTTTTACAAATGCCTGGGTCCCACTCCCAAGCTTTTGATCTAACTAGTGTAGGGGCAGGTCCCAGGAATTGCCATACATTTTAAAGCTCGTGGGGGTTTCTAATTTGCGGTCAGAATTGAGAACCACTGTGCTACACCATCCCTATGGTGAGAATCACTGCCATGTGAAGCATTCAGGAGTGACTCAGACTCTGTTTCGTTGGAGAGGAAAGAAAAAAAAAAAAAGAGTCAGAACCACTGATATTAACATCCTGTTTGAAATAAGGGAGCCTTTCTGATTTGAGACCCTATTTGGGTGCTGGGAGCCTTTGGTGGGTGGCCCAACACTTGCCAGTCGATTGGGATTCAGTGGTCTTCAGTTTGCTGGAGCAGACAGAGTCCCCTGTGGGGTGTGCATCCTTCCCAGGGCCTTTTCCCTGGATGCCACCACAGGGCCAGACCCACAGGGGAGTTGGGAAGTCACTCTGAGTTAGAAAATGCTGAAGTAAAGCCTTTGTGGCCTTGGAAAACCTGTTCCTGATTTTGATAGAATGACTATCTTTGTAGTAATTACAATAGCAAACTCCAGGCTGCCACCTAATTTCCTAGTTAGCTCATTCTCTACTTATCCGCAGTGTAATTTTAGGAGTTATTTTTAGTTTAAAAATGAATGTGAGACATTTTATTTGGAGTCTTTTTTTTTTTTTTGGTAACCCTCCGTGTTTTTTCATGTAATTACAAAATATCAAATAATACTCATCCAAAAATTTGGCAGTGTATGTTACCTATGGAGGCAAATGAAATTTAGTTTTAATCTGTGGTGAGCCGAAGGCACTTTAAACAACTTCAAAGTAGTCTGCTGTGTTTCTCGGGTGGTTTCATCCTGTTGAGCATGATGCTACCTACAAAAAAAAAAAAACACAACTTACCTGGTGTTTTCAACATTTTAAGGAATGAAGATTTAAGTAAAAATCCAAGTTGGAAATCCCGCTGTAGAAAAGCCCCTTGAAGCAGAATGGCCTGTTGTGGTGGTGAATTTGCAGTGTGAAGTTGCCTTCAGGTGCTATTCTAAGTGGTGCGGCATCCTCGTACCAGATGGGAAGGCAATTCCAGTGTTTGCTGAAGCTCCAGTTCTCTCTGTCGGCCTTTCAAATGTGCATTTGTGTTCCCTGTCCGTTTGCTCACCAACTGTGCCTCTCACCACTGGTTAAAATCGAATTCAAGCCCCATTACAAAAACAGTTTCTTCCCTGAATGCTTCAGTTTCACACTGGAATTTCTGCAGTTGTCTTAAAAGCTGCATGTCCCTGTCACTGTACACAGAATGCCTTGATATTGTTCATGCACCGTTCATAGTGATTTCTCTGCCATTTTCTTCTTTAGTTGTACAGTAATACGGAAGGCAGGATGCCTTTCCTTGAGGCTGGAAGAAAAGTGTACCATACATTTTAAATTATTTTAGAAACAAGTGCATGAGTTGTGTCACTGACTTCTGTTATTTATTTGTATGTTTTATTATTCAAGGTGTATGCACTTTTAAGAAGCAAAATTTATATTTTTATGTTTAAAACATTTTATTTCTGGAACAGCAGTTGATTATATAGTATACAGTTGGAATTAAGAGAAAAGTGGAAACTGTAACAAAATATAATAAATTTATTACATGATGCCCTCCTTAAGCCATATTCCTCTTTCTCCCCTTGCCAACCTATGTCTTTTTGGTGTTGAGTAGCTTGGAAATTAAGCAGGAATTATCTTTGTACCACACTGATCTCTACAAAATACTTTAAAACCATAGTGTGAAGTGAAAACAAGTTACAGAAGAATACAGACAGGTACTCTATATGTAAAATCTTAAAACAAAAAAAAACACATCTATGCTTATTTTAATTTTCACAATCAGGGATTATTCCACTTTCTCTAAGAGGTAGTGTGTCCTGGGCCATGGGGCTGGGCAAGAACTCACAGTCTGACTCAATTCCCGCAAAGGAGCCATTCTTTTCTGGGCACTCTGTTGCCACAGATATCCTCGTTTTTAACCATACGTTCTGAAAAAATTTTTCCCAGTCTTTACCTCCTCTCAGGACAGGACTCCCTGTCGAGGATGTCACATTACTTATGACCACTTGGGGGCACCAAAGATCGCCATCGTCAAATGTAATTTAAAAGTCTAGTGTGTTCTTCGCCTCTCTGTTGACATGCTTATTCATTATGAGTTGAGTGCATTTTCAGCGAAGCAGGGGTTTCAGTTTAGATGAGTACCACCAGCCATCGTTTTTCATGGAAACTTAACTGCAGGTCATAGAGCAGATCTTGTTTTCTAAAGCTCAGCAGGATGGTTTAGGATTAGGACAGGGAAACGGTTCCTAACCAAGGACAGGTGTGAACCACATGCCCTAAAACTGAGGTACAGCACTTACAAACCTCTCTAATTTTAAATAGTGAAGTTTTGTTTTAGTTTCCATAAAGAGTTTAACCATGTAGTACACTGATTATTCAGGAGGCTTCATTATGCCTGAAAGTATTTACGTGTCATAAAGTACATAGACTTAATAGTCATACAGATATTTACGATCATTTTGTCTGTCTCCATAGAATTTGGAAGATTATTTTCAAATATTTGAATGATCAGTATCTCCCTGTACACCAATCTGTCCTCTGTCAGTCTTCCTGGAGAAAGCAGGGGCATGATAAACCCCTGGCCCTGGACCACATGTTCCTCTGGGCCCAGGGAATGATTCTAGGCCACTATAACTCCATAGGATGAGGCTTCGGCCTGTTCCCCAACCTCAGTGTCCCCTTTCTATTTCTGAGGCCCGCTGCTAAGTTCTCCCAGGTGGTGGTTTTGGTTTTCCTTTTTGCGGCCCTGTTCTGAGTCTGAGGCATCTCCACGCTGGTCATCTGGTAGATCTCAGCTCTCCGGGTAGGTTGGGTCTACCTCATGTAGAACCCTCTGGATTTCAGTCTTGATTTGGTCTGGTCTTAGCCATGTTTCTCACCCCCTGTCAACATTGGCTACACACAGAAAGGACAAGGGCTCTCTCCTAGAGTGATAGGTTTTTGTATCATGCCATATAGCCTGATGGCCTTGCACCTTATTTCTTCAAGAGTTCAGGGCTCTGATGTTAATCTGACTCGTTCTTTGTATTTACTACAGCTTGGTTTTTCTTAAAGTGGGAAGGTGTTGTGAGTGAAACCAGGGTTGTAGTCAGAATCAGGCCTCCCCGCCACTGGCAGGCTCTGCTGCACCTTTCCTTTGCTTCAGAAAAATCCACAGAGGCCCACAGTATACAGACCCAGTTTCCGAGACTCGGATGGTGTCAGATTCGTCATCCCTTCAGAGAGTGGGAAGAGGAAGGCACATGTGGGGATGGTGCTGTGTGGCTGAGGATGGGTGGCGCCAGCTTCAGGGTTCCCAATCCACAAAAGGTTGTGGTGGAGAAAGTGTCCCTTTACTGTTGCACTCAAGATCGAAGTCCAGATTCTTTTGTTTTGCAGTGCTTCCTGTATGCCAGAATGCTGGGGGTATGACCATGTCCGAGGAGCTCACGGTCTAGCCGGTGTCAAGTTGGCTGGTAGATAATTAACATTTTGGTGCTTACTGCCGTGCCATTTACTCATTGCTCTTCCCTCAAGGCATCACCACGTTCCCATCCCTCTTCCAGCACATTTCCCGGAATTCTGCCTAGGAGGCTTGTCTCCAAGGTACCCACATGGCCCATCCTGTCATCTCCTTCATGTCTTTACTCAGACGTCACCGTCTCAGTGAGGCCTTTCCTGACCGTCCTTTTAAAACATTGCAACCTGCTTCATGTTCTCCCCCTTTCCTACCTTATTATATTCTTCATGTAACTTGTCACCAACTACCACAGTCTGTATGCAACATAATCTACAATATACAGGCAACATTGGTCTATCTGCAGTATATATGCAACGTAGAATATATGCAATGTAGTCGGTCTGTATGCAGTAGTATAAGTGCTACCTCAGTCTATAAGCAATACGTACGCAGTGCACAGTCTGTATGCAATATATGTGCAACACAGAGTCTGTGTGCATACAGAGTACATAAGCTCACTTCTGTAGCTTGTTTACCTGCTCTGTTCACCGCTCTTTCCCGGTACCTCAGAGAGTGTCAAGCATATTAGTACTTAGTAAAAATTGACTACCTGAATTAGTGGATTTGCTTGAGTAATCCACTTACCACTCTGAGTCCCCTTCCTATCTAGAAGATGAACAGTACTTTCATCATGGAGTTGTGAGGGTTAAATAGGAAGGATGCCCATTATGCGTCGTCCGGCACAGTGCCTGGCATAGAGAAAGGGCCCAGGGAATAGTGCCATTCCTAATCATAGCGATAGGGATGGAGAGAGGGGCTGACCCTCATGGGAGCTTTACAGAGGAGGGGCCGTTGGAGCAAAGCTCACACCTTCCTGACTGGGGGAGCTGCTGGTACTTTCTGGAAACCCCAGGAATCAAACTTTCCTGGAATGTAGGGCAGGAAGGCAGGAAGCAGTAGATGGAGGGAGAAGGGAGGCCAGCAGAGGCCTCATCTGAAGGACCTTTCATGACTTAGGTCTGTCCTGAAGTAAATGAGAATCCAGGAAGAAATTTTAATTTAGGAGAGATGAGATCCAGTTTGTGCCTTAGCATGGTCACCATGGCAACAGTGTGGCACCAGTGAGCCCTGGTTAGGAGCTTGTTGCAGGAATCTAGGTGCAGTCTGTGGAATGCTGACCTAAAATAGTGTTGGGTGGACAGAGAGGAGGGGGAGCTCCTGGAGGGGTGACGTGCTCAGGTCCCAGAGGTGGGCTACTGGTTCAAATTCTCGTACCGTGACTTCCTAGCTGGACAGCCTTTGGCAGATTACTTAACTTCTCTGTGCCTCAAATTCTTCACCTGTAAAATGTGGCTGATAATGTCTACATGATCATTGGGAGGCTTAATTGGGGTGGTTGGTTTGTTTACACTTAATACATTGCATTAATTACAAGTGTATTTGATTTTATCTCCCATCTTACTATTCCTTTGATATTTGTCCCACCTATTCTATGTTTCTTTTTCTCTTCTTTCTTGTCTTTCTTTTAGATCAGTCAAGCATTTTTTAAATTCCAGTTTTTTACCTCTATTAGCTTATTATTCATCCTCTTACTCTTTTTGTAGTGGCTGTCCTTGTGGTATCAGCATGCATTCCTGATTCAAAAGAGTCTAAGAAAACTTAGTAACTTTTGCCCCGTCAGGGTCTTAGAACACTTTGATTCCCATTTTACCCTTCCCACCATTTGTTACTGGTTGCTGTGCATTCCAATTCCATGTGTATTTAACATGTATAGATACATAACACACGTAACTAAGATGATTACGAATGTTGAAAGCCAGTATCCATTTAGATGTACCAGTACGTTCACCTTCCGTTTCTTGTCTTCCCCTCTGGTGTTCCAGTGTGTCTCCTGCAATCCTTTTCCTTCTGCCTGAAGAATTCCTTTCAGTCTTTCTTTTTTTTTCAGCCTGTGCTAATGATGCACTCTCTTAGCTTCTGTTTGATTGAAAAGGTCTTTATTTTGCCTTTCCTTTTGGAGGGTATTTTCACTGGGAATAGAATTCTAGGTTGCAAGTTATTTTCTTTCCTTTTCATTCCGTGGTCTTTTGCCATTATTATTTCTGTTGATAAGTCAGTTATTAATCTCATGGTTGTTCCTTTGAAGGTGTATTACTGGGTTGCTTTTTTTCCTAAATGCTTTGAAGATGCTTCTCTTTGTTTTTCACTGGTTTCATTTTTAAATGTGTTTTTATCCTGTACTTCATGAATCTGACCTGGAAACTTTTTTAGCCATTATCTCTTTAAATGTTGCTGCCTCTCCATCTTCCCAGCCCGTTTTAGGACTCAGTAATTGGCGTCACCATCCATCCCCCCTGCTCAGTCCAGACCAGGGATCCATCCTTGACTCTGGTCTTTCCCTCAACCCCCATCCTTACATCAGATCCATTCACAAGCCCTGTCCAGATCCACTTAAACACAAGTAGGTCCTAAATCTGTCCTCTTCTCCAACCCCATTTTATATCATCCTTTCCTCACTTTCAGGCACAGAAGCCACCTCTTAGTGCCTTGACTGGAGGGTCTTATTTCCATTTTATGCATATATAGACTGAGGCTCAGAGAGAGTAAATGACTTAGCCAGGATCACACAGGTAATGAGTAATAGGTCTTGGATGTGAATTAGGCCTAATACTACAAGGCTTGTGTTTTTTCGCATTATTACTCCCAATTCCCTATATGATAGTAAATAAGGGAATTAAATAATCAACATATGGAATTGTGTTTAGCCATGCAGTTACTAGAAGGAGAATCTAGATTGTATAAAGTCCTTTTCTTTGTAATCTCTGAGTAATTATAGCAAATTCCAGAAGTGAGGAAATTTCTGCTTTTTGGTAACAGAGTTTAGGAGAACCTCCTTGGTTCAATTT